AAATATATTTATCTTAATATGTTCAAAACACACGAAAGTATCACTTTTTATTTCAATAAGTGTTCAAAATGTTGCCCGTTATTGGTCAAACAAAGATATAGGCGATGTTCAAATTCCTGACGGACATTTTCAAAAACATGTGGGATATCATGGAAGCGTTTGATGATGCGTTGACGAACTCCATCCAAACTTCCAGGTTGGGGAGTAAATACAACAGATTTCAAATGGCCCCATAGAAAAAAGTCTAATGGCGTCAAATCAGGAGATCCAGCAGGCCATTCTATAGACCCTGTTCCCCTAACCATTTGAAGGGTAGCGGAGAAAAACGGCATTAGTCGCATTATTTGGCTAAATTGGGCTTTCAGTTTATTTTGGTGGCATTTTCCTGATGCTATCGTGTAATCAGCTTCTCAAATTGTAAAAAGTGCCTAGGTTCACAAAGTCCCTACGCGTGTATGGAAAAACGGCATCAGTCCATATGGAAAGGCGGCGTTGCATCGCTTGGGCGCTTCGTTATTGCATCAGCCATTAGTTTACTATTAGAGCCCACGTGTGTTGTATACTCTGATATTTTGAATATTGACTATATTCGCTAATTTAGTTTATAATACGGGTATTCTGTATAATGGATAGTGACTATTCAGTTTCAAGTGAAAATGAACCAGGCCCATCAAACAGGGAAACGAAAAAACGCAAAAAAACAGGAAGACAAAGAGACGTAATGAAAACGTTGGACGCCACTACCTACGAACTTGGATCTGATCGTTTTTGTGAACGTTTTCGCTGTTTTACTACTGTTCCTGAACCTGAATGCTGTAGACTTTTCGTGAATTTAATGAACTAGGAAACACTAATGCACAAAACGCTTATCTTAGTGGTCTTATCACTACCCTTCCTGTCATGCGTAGACGCTCTCGAAAAAATGAAGCACAGTCAAAGCTTAATAACGCTTCATTTAGTTATCGTATCCGATTGGTTGACAATGGAATTATTCGTGATGTTCCAGTTTGTCTTAAGGCTTTTTTGTTTTTACACGGAATTACAGTTCGTCGAGTCCGTTACACAAGAGACTCATTAGTTGCAACTGGGAAATCGCCCATCGACATGCGTGGAAAACACAGCACACGACTTTACAAACTTTCAGAAAACGCGAAACAGAAAATGACCGAGTTTATTATAAGCCTTAAATGCCGCAAATCTCATTATTCTTTGGCAGATTCGCAAAAAGTTTACCTACCTGAAAATCTAAATATCGCAAAATTACACAAAATGTATTTTCTATTGGCAAGTAATAATTTGTAGAAAAAGATACTTGAGAAGACACTACATAAAAAAGGGGTGAGCGATTTTACAGTCTAAAGAGAACTTACCGAAAACGTGCCACGAAGTTCCCCGCTATCGAAAGTATCACGATGGATTACCAAAAAAACTTGCGCTGTCCAAATATCACGACAAATGATGTTTACTATAAGCGGCAACTAAATTTCATCAGCTTCAACATCCAAATTCTGTCAAACAAATTCTATCTTTTATACCTACGATGAATCTACGAGTATTGCTAAGAAAGGAGCTGATGATGTCTGTTCTATGCTGTATCACTTTTTTTATAACATCCTGCCTATGGAAGTAAAAGAACTTGCCATTTTCTGTGACTCCTGTGCAGGGCAAAATAAAAACTCTACAGTTATTCGGTTTTTGCATTACTTGGTTACCAAGAAAAATCGTTTTACTACTGTGAAAGTAATATTCCCGATCCGGGGGCATTCATACCTCGAATGTGATAGAGATATGAGTCTCGTGAACCAAAGAGCATACACTGAGGTACCGGATGACTGGAGAGATGAATTGAAAAATTGCCGTGCGAAACCTACACCATTTGAAGTCATTGATTGTGGCAAAAATTTTGATTTTCAAGATTGGAGTACGTTTTTTATCGCCGTCTTATCCAACGAAGTGCCCCACCAGTCAGGATGCCCAAGTTTTGCAAACAGAATCCTCGCGTGGATTTTGACAAATACATGGGCCTATATGCTAGTTCTAAATTTGATAAGGTAATTCGGAAGAATCTAAAAAAGACGCAAAAAGATCAACAAAAACGAGAAGAGCAAAGATTGAGAAAACTTTACCAGTGCCCCATCCCAATGGTTTCAGTAATAAGCGTATTGATGCTATTTTCTAACATATCCAAATAAATGTCTTCATTTAACTTTCCATTAATAAAGGATTCCCCAATCACTTTGTTTTCTAAAATGCCTGCCCATACATTAATTGTTTGGGGGTACTGGGTATGCCCGTCTACAAAAGTATGACGTTTTTTATTGCTCCAATAACTGCAGTTATGCTTACTAACAAAACCGTTTAGATGAAATGTGCATTCATCACTGAAGCAGATATTCTTTACATGAATCATTGAAGTATAATGAAATACTAGTCGCAGCAACAATTTTGCGTAATGAAGCATTACTATTTATTCCAAAATGACAAAACACTTCAACTTGAGCGGCTCCTATTAACTGGACGCCACTTTTGAATTATTTTTTGGAATGTATTCAGTTCAAAACACAAATGCGTGAAATATAACTAAGTGGAAACGTTGAACGGAAATCTCAGATTAGACTAAAATAATTTTTTTATCTACTCGTGCTTTCTGTTCAATACTTTAATACATGCTAATATTTGTTTTTAGATATATCTATATACATAACAAATAGATGCCGTAAATCAAGAATATTACAAAGAACCAGGCAGGTTCGTTATGGAGAATGATTTTCGAATAATTTGTTGAAATTTTGCATATAAGTAGTTTTCAACATGGCGACCAAAAATCTCAATGGGGTCAACGTCCTGACACCCCTCCTGTACCCCCTACGAACCCACAAACCCCCAAATAGAGGACAACAAGTCTTAAAATAATATTATTAGAGAAGAAGTAAAACATACTGACACCCTTCCTGTACCCCCTACGAACCCACAACCCCCAAATAGAGGACAAGTCTTAAAATAATATTATAAAAGAAAAAGTAAAACATACTGTTGCTGAGATTTCTCCAAGACTGGGCAATAGTGATAATGGATTGACCTTGACAGTGACCTTAAAGGTTATGGTCAAGGTCAAAACTAAATTTTAAAAGTAATGGATATACTTCATTTGTAGCATATTCAGCAAAAAAATTTCTCACATCCAGATGCGATAAACACTACTTGGCTTTCTGCAACCAACAATGCACGCTTCATCGTGTCGTTGAGTCATTCCTCCATGGATGGACGCTTTTCTGTATTGACGAACCAGTCTCGTTGTTGACATTCCAACCTGAGTTTTTGCTCTTCTCGCCAATCTTTCTGACCTCTGTGCAGTTAATGCACCTGGTCTTCCACTTTTTGGGAGATTCAGACATGGTATTCCCTGCTCTCATCCCGCTAAATCGATAAATCGAACTTTTAAAAACAAATATCTCGAAAACTATTAGCTTCAGACACTTCTAACAAGTGAACATTTTTTCTTGACGAAATACGAGAAAATAAGATTTTTCAGTCAGTTGTTGTATACAGGGTAGCACAAAAAATTTATGATGTTATTTACTGAAATAGTGCTGTAACAACTATAACAACAACATGAACAAACAACTATCACTACTACAAAAACTGCTCGAAAATATCTCCACCATGTTGAATACACATCCGTAGTCTTTGGATAAATGACCGCTGCACATCCCTCAGCATGTGTTCCCTTATGTTCAGAAAAGCATGCTTAATCCTTTCCTTCATGTTTTCCGGGGTAGATGGTGGATATCTTTAAACCTCTTGCTTAACGTTGCCCCATAGAAACAAGTCCTTCGGTGTCATATCTGGTGATCTACGAGGTCAAGATATAGGCCCATGCATATATCAGTTTCTGCTCCAATTTGCCGTGCACTTAAATGAAGATTTTCCTGCAACTTCAATAGAACCTCCAACTGATTCGTCTCATTGGATTGGATTGTTTATACATTCTTACTATATTCTATTGCTCCAGTTGATTCAAAACGTTCTCGTAGTGTGGAAAATGTTTCCGGCCTTGGACGACGTATATTAGGCTACCGTTGCTTAAAAATGCGAGATGCTAGGAAACTATTTCTTTGAGCTTCGCCCAAAAAGAATACCATATTCACCATTTCTTCTTCAGAAAAATTCATTTTCAAACACGTTTTTATTATAATGCTCACAAAGCTAATTTTGACAGTTTGTAACTAATCAACAATTTATTTGTTTCCAAGGATGATGCTATGTTTTAGGGAATTAAGCCGTTCCATAAAAGACGTGCTAATAACTGAAAAATAGCCGTAAAAACCCTTATGTGTCTAGTATCAAAAAAAAAGCTTATAAAAAATTGAATCCAAACTTGCACAAATATACAGGGTGATGCATTTGAAATTTTTGAGAAAAACTACAATTTGCGTTTTTGACCACCCTGTATGAGAAAAAATGGAAATTCGAAAAATTAATATACACGATAAAAGCTGAGGTATGTAAGTTTTTTTGATACAAAATTCAGAACTCCAATTTTCAAAATGGCCGACTGACGGGTTTTTCTAGACAAAACACCTTATATCTCAGTAGCTAATTACCAAAACCCCATAGTATGTTATATCAATTTTCTTCTTTTGAATTTTGGAAAAATCACAACTTTGATATGTAGGTCGAAATTGGCACACCTTGTATAATGGCCAATATTTTAGAAATGTGCCCTCAAATGATATGTATAACATCCCAAAATGTATTTGTTTATGAGTAATATTCCGTCCACACATAGATGGGCCACCCTGTATATGTCAACTGAAGGTAAACAAACTTTGTTTCCAAATGCAACTTGATATTACTTTGTGTTAGTTAAAGTTAAAGCCAATGCATTTTGTGGCATAACTTTTGAGGCGTACGTTATTATAGAACGATCTTTGTTATCTTTCACCTATAATTTATGATATGATCAATATCATACAGTTTGTTTTGTTTTAGTAAATCCACGGAGTTTCAGAGAAACGTTGAATTCGGAGATTTCGATATTTTATTAGTTAGTCATTTGTAATCCCAGCTTACCTTTGCGGTTCCATCATCGTTTGTTATCTCTAAGAGAGATCTTCGAAAATACATAAATGATGCTATTTATTGAACTAATAAACTCAAGGTAAACCAAATTTGACACGATTCTATCGAATGAATACGCAATATTTCTAAGTACCCTTATTTAGATAGGAGTGCAATTTCGCTTAAAAACAGATGGAAATAGGAATTACGACATGGATTAAAGACTCTCAGTTGTAAGATAAGATAAGACAATACCGATGTTTTAAAACAATCTGAAGAGATAACATCTCATTTCTGTGCAACTACAGCAGTGGAATTAGTGGTATATTGTACAGGTGAGGAACTTTCCGCAGCTTTTGCAAGTTTGTGTTTTGAAATCTAAAATTGTTTTTTTTAAATGTACGGTACGAAACTTCATAGGGTGATTCGTTAGTATGTTTCATGAAATTGATATATTGGGTGTTGTAGTTAAAGAAAAAAAAAACGGGATTTATAACATACCTTAGGTACATATCCTGAAAGCGATTTAATTGAAATTTGGTGCAATTTTTTCAAGTTATAAAACGAAGCTAGATATGAAAAAACCCAAAAGAGCCAAACGTTGTATACTAAGTGACATATAAATCCTAACACCCAGTTTAAATGGTTTTATTTTAATAAAATTTCGTATAAGTACTTAATAAGTAAATGATAAAAATTTCAAAATGATTGCACTGCTTTAAAGCCCTTTGACCTTTAATAATGTGTGGATGCACCCTGATGTGCTACGCATTCTCCAACGCGCCTAGGCATGCTTCTGATCAGGTGGTCAATGTCCTCCTGTGGTATCTCATTCCAGGCAACCACCAACTCCTCTCGAAGTGCTTCTAGAGTCTGAGGAGGACTTTGCAAATTGAGCAATCTCCTACCCATCGTATGCCACACGTGCTCAGTTGGGGATAAGTCGGGAGATCTTGGTGGCCATGGTAACAATGTGACATCATTATGTTGAAAGAAGTCTATTGTGACTTTTGCAACATGTGGTCGGGCATTATCTTGTTGGAAAGTTGGATCCGCCAGGGTGTCAAGATAGGGTAAAAGATGGGGTTCTAGAACTCCGTGGATATAAGGCTGCACGTTCATGTTACCTCTGATGAATATTAAAGGTGACCTGGAACCATAAGCTATAGCACCCCAAACCATAACTCCAACAGTGTGATGAACATGTCTTTCAACAAAAAACTGTGGATTCCTCCTTTCACCACGTCGCCTTCTCACCCTGGCACGACCATCGTGCATGCCTAAACAAAATCGAGACTCGTCACTAAAGACAATACTGTTCCATTCCTGATCCCAGAGTGACCGTTGTCTGCACCACTCAAGGCGATTACGTCGGTGTTCTCGAGTTAAAGGGAGGACCCAGTGTGGCCGGTATGAAAACAAGCCAAAACTTCTCATTCGTCGGTAAACACTTCGCATGCCAATAGGTCTTCCGTATTCTGCAAACCATTCATTTGCAATGGACCTGGTAGTGGAGAAACGGTCCCTTAAGGCCAATAATCTTAGGCGGCGATCTTCACGGTCTGTTGTTCTACGGCGGCGTCCAGTGGCCCTTGCTCTTTGCGTACGGCCTTCTCGAAGCCATGCCTGACAACACCTAACCACAGTGTCTACACTTCTTTGCACTCTAACTGCAATTGCCCGAAAAGAAAGTCCAGCTTCCCGAAGTCCCACTATAAGGCCCCTATCAAACTCACTAAGTTGACGAAATCGTACAGGTCTCCGTACTCTAGGCATCGTAACCGATCGTAAAGGATGTCAAGAACCAAAATCCGCCAACGTTGATTCTTTACTGAGGCTGAAATATTCATTTTTAGAGCGTTAGTGAATTAAAAAAAAGCAGTATAAAAACCGAAATGTCTAACTGATAAGGCTGAAAATTTTTTCAATTGTTATTTACAGTAAGATAAATACATTCACCAATTTTTATTAAAATAAAACCATTTAAAGTGGGTGTTCGGATTTATATGTCACTTAGTATATTTTTATCTGCAACTAAAAAAAATAATCGATCAAATCGACCACTGCAAGGAAGACTGTTGTAACTCAGTTTTGGTTGAACTGAGATACAGGCATTAGAAGATTTTCTGATGAGTTTCGTTGTCAGAAAAATGACGATCTCATCAAAAATATGTTGCAAATTGCAGTAATTCTTGTATATTTAAGGTTATAACTGGTATTACAAACCTAGCGAAAATGACATTTTTTTATAAATTTACTATAGTTTTCGTTGGATCAATTAAAGAAAAAGGTACACCTGCTTTAGACTTAGTGGGATATTCATTCATGTTTCAAACAAGTTGTTGAAAAAAAACCTCTTAAATGCCAATCTGAGTCACTCAAATTATATTCATCTTCGTCTCTCCACTATCATCGTTCTCAACTCCTGTATTTTCAGCACTGTTAATATTACGTCCTCCACTTATATTTCATTTCACGAGGCACTTCAACTTTTCTCCGCAATCGTCTTTGTCCCAATTTTCAGATGTTATATTTTATTTAAAACTAATGAATCCACGACCAACCGCAGACAGGGCTCTTTAGTAGTACAATATAGGTCTGTATCAGGTCCAGACCTGGAGATGAACAAATGAAAAGCAAACACGTGAGTGTCGCCTTAACAAAACCGAGGACTGTAGTAGTTGAACTTTCTGTTAAACTTATTTATTTCACAGGCATGAGAGAAACAGAGTGTGATGCGACAGATCTCAATTCATAACGTGCAGAAGAACATGCTATGCTTGAACCTTTTTGTTGTGTTAAAACAATTCATCATTATTTATGAACCAAACTTGCCTGGATTTAACTGTTGAGCAACTGCACTTAGCTTCTTTGCATCTGTCAGGATTATTTTGGTTCTTGGATTCATTTTAGTTCGCTTTGAAAACTGCTCTCTTCATACAGCTAATTCTTGAAACGTTTTCGCTATTAATTACCGTAACCTCAAACTATGCCGCGAAAATCCTAGTAAGTCAGACACTATTATACTTACTATATGACGCAGAAGATTTACTGGTTGCCTATAGTTGCATGACTGAGATACAGTATTCTTCCACCAATGAGAACCCGAAAAAGTCTATCGATATCATATAGTAACTCAAAAGCAAGGATATATGAGGTAGAAGATTTACTGGTTGCCTATAGTTGCATGACTCAGATACAGTATACTTCCACCAAAGAGAATCCGATAGAGTCTATCGATACCATATACTCGTAGTAACTCAAAAGCAAGGATTTTTGAGTCACTATAGTCCAGCATACATCCCGTACGGACGCCACTGGTAAATATATCAAAATATTCTACAAAAAAAAATATCTAAAAAACGGATTTTTCCTTAAAATTTTAACACCCTGTAGGTCAAAAGTTAAGAGGCTTAGGACGTATGTTCATATTCTTATTCATATTCTTCCTAAAATGAGCTAAGGAATCACATCCTGTATTTTTACCCATCAATTAAATTAAACCCTGTATACATTGTTTTCTTTTACTTCCTATGCCAAAACTAGCGAGAAATTTTTCTTTTGGCTATGGATGTTGGATTGTCCGTAGGCGGTAGACGGTCTGTGACTGTCGAACGCGGAGGTACCACCTGGCGGATCTCTAAAGTCACATGCGCACGTGTTCCTCGCTAGAGTCCGTGTCGCTTCCCCCCGTTCCCCTGGCGGTGATACAAGTATGAAAAAATGATAACGTCGGAAGATTGTAAATCGAAATTTTAGAGAAATAGCGAGCAAATTGCAAGCAACTGCTTACATATGCATAAAGTGCGTACTAGTAACATGCATAAAAGTTATTATCAATACATTAATAAACCTTCAACATAAAAAAACGATAACTTAAAAATTATGAAACGTACATTAGCATGTTTATATTGTGTAGTATTCAGTAATTTATTTTATGATCGTTATATCTCCGCACGATCGATATTCCAAATTTATTGAAATTAAATTTCATTGAATGTATTAAAATTATTAGAAAGTGATGTGCATTGTGCAAGTGAGAGTATCAATGTATGTTGGTGCTTGAAGTATACTGAATGATAAGAAAAGGTAAACATCCACGTATGTAATATCCGATTTGAATAATTTTTCGCATATATGTGCAAAAATAATTAAATTTTCAGCTTGATTCGTCAGTTGACTGCAGAAGCTGGTTCAATAATGTATTGAGGATCTACGCTTTCATATACGAGCCCCTTCCCACTTCAGTTGGCCCACTTCAAGATGTGTGTACTTCTAAAACAATTTATTTTCTCAAAAACATTTTAGATACACTCTAGTCGTAAAAAATACATCTTTGAAATCACTTAGACCTATAACTAATAGAACATCTGAACAAATAAACAATGTGCGAATAAATGCGCGAAGTTAACAAAGCAACAATTGAAATATTACCATTGGGTAACATCACCTTTATTTTTTATTACGGCTGAAATTCTTTGCGGCATAGTGTTAACCAAGTTTTGGCAAAAATTTGGTGTAAAACAATCCCATATTTGTTGAAGTTTTTGTCCCAGTTCGGTGATTGTACGAGCAGGATGTTGTCGTAGAACCTTTTTCATCTCGTGCCACAAAGTTTCAATAGGTGACAGATCTGGACTGCTAGAAACCCATTTCAAAAGTGGTACATTATTTTCTTCCATCCATTTTATAGCCTTTTTTGAGGTATGGCACGCTGCACCATCTTGCTGAAACACAAAATCTTGGACGGATGTCAAACATTCTTCCATCACTGGTAAAAGCGATTCTTCTAAATTTGCCAAATATTTGTTTGTATCCACATTTCCATCAATAAAATGAAGTTTTCCTACTCCTTTTGATGACATACTGCCGCAGACCATAATGGATGCTGGAAATTTCACTTTTCTCTTCAGTCAGTCAACATGGAATGCTTAATTTTTTTTGCGAATAACTCTACTGCGACTCACCAACACAGTGGAGTTAATAGTGGCTTTTCTTTGGCCTATAAACAAGTTGTGCAACTTTAGGGTTTTTACTTCACTTTTTTTATAAGAAAACTTACCTTGCAGGTGCTAAATCCCAGTTTGTGGGCCTCTCTATGAGTTGTGGACCTCGAAATTCTCCTTCCAACAGCGTCACTCCACAGAGCACTTAATTGTAAATAATTGGCACGCCTGTTTTTCACAATTATTCTTCTTAATGCTCTTCGGTCGGCATTTGTGATATTACTTTTTTTTTCACATATCGTGGCTTAATATTAACTGAACCAGTTACGTTATATCTTCTAACAATATTTCTCACACTGTACCGCTATAAGTCTTACAAGGTTGCAATTTCTGAGTTTGATTTCCCAGAGTTAAAAAATGTAATTATCAGTAACCGAATTTTCTCACTAATAACCTTTCCTCTACCCATTTTGATTAATAAAAACAATTGTCAAGGCTTTATTTTTCACAGCCACCTATGCGTTATAAACTTGTTTTGCATTAAAATGAAAATAGGTTGATATGCTGTAATTGCAACACCCTGCTACATTTTTATTATTTGTGTTTGATAGGAAAAAACTAAGATTTCAATAGTTGGGCCAACTGAAGTGGGAAGGTGCTCGTACGACCAACTTGACGCTATTCTTCATTTCAGCTTGCAGTAAATGCTACAGATTATTCAGACTGAAGCCCCGCAATGACCTCTTGGTGCTTCCTTTTCCTCGCAATAATATTGCACTCATGTGCAGCTCAAAGACTTCCGACTGTGGCCTATCCATCCGCGTACAAGGTGTCTCTAGTGATTCCAGAGAGTTCGTTCACAGAAAAAGGAGATAGTTTCACTGGAAAAGTAGAGATTGTGCTTTCACTTGAAGAGGCTAGCTACTCGATAGAGTTGCATGCTGGACGTGATTATTTGTCGATCGTCACACTGCAGGTGATACATGACGGGACGGCTTTACATACAACTTTTACAGTGGATGAAAATGATGTTTTGACTATAAGTGCGACACAACGTAAGTATGGACCATCAAGTTAATGCATAGATATTATAATTTTTGATCGAATTGAGATGCGCATATCCTCTAATTTTTCTCGATTTGACTCAAAAAACTCTAAAAATATACAGGGTGGCGCATCGAAAACGAAACAGATGCATTTACTGGCAGCTCAGATTTTGTTTTTAAAAACGCTTAGACCCGTCGATTTTGTTTTCGAGGGGGACACAAGTTTGGCAAAAAGTCACGTTAACACGTGCAGCCCCCTAGGCGGGGGTGACACCAACCCTAAAATCTTAAATGGAAAGGGGGGTCGAGTGATACCTTATTTTAAAGGTCTTTCAATTCCCTTTATAATGATATAAAATTAGTGTACTTCAATTCAGTAGTTTTGAAGATTTATTGATTTAAAGCTTAAGAAAAACTAATACATAATCATTAGTGGAGATCAATACATTTGGCAGCAAAGTAATTTAAAATGAAGAATGAACTGACCCGTTAGGCAAGTAAATGTTGAAAATGGCCACCATGACTCTCCATGCAATAATAAAGATTTTGCTCAAAACGTTGCCGCACCTTTTGCAATATTTGAGGAGTAATTTGAAGGCACTCATTCACAATTCTTTGTCGCAGGTCTTCTAATGGTGTTGGCTGAGTAGCATAGATTTCGCTTTTTAAATGACCCCACATAAAGAAATCCAAAGGTGAAAAATCTGGCGATCTTGGGGGCCATTCAATGGCACCTCTTCTACCAATCCATCGATCGCTTAAATATTTGCCATCAAATTGTTTGGAGAATTTTAGTAGATTTTTTGCTATATCCTTACGATATAATAAGCGTACAGGCATTACTTCCCACTGATTTTCCAACACATGTGACTTTTTGTCAGTGGTATCTTCAAAAAATTACACAAGATCCGCAATTTGAATCAATGATTCTGTTCACGGACGAAGGTAATTTTTTTCGAAATGCCATTCAGAATTTCCACAATAATCATTTGTGGGCAGCAGAAAATCCTTATGCCGTAACCGAAACCCATTTTCAACACCAATTTTCGGTTAACGTATGGGCAGGAATGATTGGCAACCATTCTTCTTGCCGGGACGACTTGACGGACAGACTTACCTCAATTTTCTTCAACAATAGTTGGCTTTGCTGCTTGATGATGTTCCGTTAGTAATAAGAAACAATATGTGGTACATGCATGATGGTGCACCAGCGCATTTCAGTGTAGCGGTTCGTAATTATTTACAAACTGTTTATCCAAATCGTTGGATTGGCCGCGGTGGGCCCCAGGAATGGCCACCAAGGTCCCCAGACCTGAACAGCTTAGATTTCTTTTTGTGGGGCTATCTTAAGACACTAGTGTAAACAAGCCCCATTAACACTGTAGAGGAAGTAAGAGAAAGAATAGTTGCACCTTGTGATAGAATAAAAAACACTCCAGGGGTATTTCAACGAGTGCGCAATTCAATGAGAAGGAGGACGGAATCATGCATACTAAGTGAAGGAGGCCATTTTCAACAATTTTTGAAATCATTTCGTTGGTTTTAATGTTATGTTTATGTTGTCAGTTGTTGTTGTTCATTACCCCTAATGTGTTTAATTTTTTGCAAGTTAGACAATAGAATGGTTTTTATTTTTTTTTACTCAAAAATGGCGCATCGAAGGAAAACAATTCAGGAAATATCATTTGTTTTAGATTGAACGGGGAATTCAAAAATAATTTTTACTTGGCAAAAAACCATTGGCGTACAATTTTTTCCTTAAAAAATATCGAAATCAATACCCTTACGCACGTCACTGTTAAAGCTAAAAATTATGTTTGTATTGAACAATATGCAACTTTATTAACTTTCGCTACGTACTAAATATCAGTGAAATATCTGAAGCGGTTCTGAAAATATTAATTAATTTCCATTTATTTCCTAAAGTTTCAGCACCCCGAGTTTTTGTAAGGAAACATTTTGGACCATAGCTTATAAAGCAAACTAACATTAATTTTTTGCGTAGATTCACACCCTTAAATATTCGCATATCATTAAGGAACACCCTGTAGATAAACAAATAGGTTAACCTAACGGGTGATTTTTTAAGAGGTATAGGATTTGATTTAAAAAAAACACAAAAAATTTGAAAAAACGATTAAATCTTTATTTGAGTCGATAGAACGGTCGATATAATTTAATGTTTAAAGATTATTTCATGTAAATGTTGGCCGCGGCTCCGCTTTAGATGGTCTATGCGCAAGGTCCAATTTTGGCACACTCTCTCCAACATATCGGCCGGTATCTCACGAATAAATGCTTCAATGTTGGCTTCCAGTGCATCAATCGTTGCTGATTTATCCCTGTAGATATTAGCCTTAACATGGCCCCACAAGAAATAGTCGAACGGCGTTAAATCACACGATCTAGGCGGCCAATTGACGGGCCCCAAACGTGAGATAAACTGTTTACCGAACTCGCCTCTCAATAGGGCCATTGTTTCGTGTGCGGTGTGGCATGTGGCACCGTCTTGTTGAAACCACATGTCAGCCAAGTCCAGCTCTTCCATTTTGGGCAAAAAAGTTTGTTATCATCGCACGGTAGCGCTCGCCGTTCACAGTTACGTTCCGGTCATTGTCGTCTTTGAAGAAGTACGGCCCGATGATGCCACCGGCCCATAATCCACACCAAACAGTGATTTTTTCGGGATGCATTGGTAGCTCTTGCAATGCTTCTGGCTGGTCTTCACTCCAGATGCGGCAATTTTGCTTGTTAACGTACCCATTCAACCAGAAATGAGCTTCGTCGCCGAACACAATTTTTCGATAAAAATGTGGATCTTCCTCCAACTTTGCCAGCGCCCATTCACCAAATGGGAAACGTTGTGGGAGGTCGTGTGGCTTCAATTCTTGCACCAGCTGTATCTTATAAGGTTTTACACCCAAATCCTGTCGCAAAATTTTCCACGTAGTGGAGTAACAGAGGCCCAATTGCTGCGAACGGCGGCGAATCGACATTTCACGGTCATCACTAACACTGGCGGATACAGTCGCAATATTTTCTTCAGTCCTCACTCTACGTCTGCGTGTTGGTGGTTTAATGTCCAATAATGTAAACTGGGTTCGAAATTTAGTCACAAGCTTCCGAATAGCTCCCTCAGTAGGCCGACCAAATTGGCCATAAATTGGAAGCAGTGCTCGATGCACTCTCTTAACCGAGCATGAATTTTGATAGTAATATTCAATAATTTGCAAGCGTTGTTCGTTCGAAAGTCGATTCATGGTTAAATTATAGACCAAACTGAACAAGTTTGACAATGACACAAGACACGATTCACGTGTCATCTGTCAAAAACAATGTTGCCAAAAAGATACTAGCAAAAAAATCACCCATTACATACCAAGCGGCACATGAGTTGGATATTGCGACGCACGCGACTGCAGATTTTTGCATTCAGGTTTTTCGAACTCAATATCCCGGTTATCTCCGGGCTTTGGTGTTAACGCTCTGTCTCAACTACAAGGGCACCTTGTATGGGTGCCATCTATTTGGCTTCTGAATTACGATCATCGGTATCTCTTTCTTACAGAACTACTAGCACATACCGACTATAAGCTCGTGGTAACTTACGATGGTCGTCTCAGTACCACAGATATGAACGGAATCTACAAAAGCAGTTACGAAGACGGAACAGGAGCTAAGAAGTACCTGGTAACCACCCAGTTCGAATCCATCTACGCCAGAAGGACATTTCCCTGCTTTGATGAACCGTCCTTCAAGGCTACGTTTACAATAGATATTACTGTGCCACAAAAATTGAACGCAATGTCTAATACTCTATTCACCACGTCACTTTTACCCGATGGGTAAGATTTCTTGAGTACATATCTACAAACATCGATAATCAAAATGTGGAATGGTGAACCATTCTGTCCCTTTATAATTATGCAGGGTGGTCAATATCAAACAGTCCGCAAGTAATGTCGAAAACCATAAACCTAAAAGAAATTCCTCCCAAGCATCGGTTTAGAATCTGCCCCCGGCTACCTGACGGTGATCTCGAATTTGACATTGACCTCCAAAGGTATTCAAATCTTTTTTTAAATTTCACATTCTGATGAGTCTTTGACCTTTATGAAACTTGACCTTTGAAGGTCATGGTCAAGTTCTAACGTGAAATGAAGTTAAAATAATTTTTCTAACGGTTCACAAACTTAGGATTTTGCCTGGCTAGTCATTTCTTTACTGTAAGACTAGACTTCGAAGTTGAGTCATTTATTTTAACAGTGAGTAGATCTGATCAAAAGAAACGTTTTTTTCCTTTAACATTTTTGTGGTAAAGTTAAAGTAACAAAGTTATAGCCCTTTAGAAGTTTGAGTACCTAAAAAATGGCACATGTTTACGAAAATGCTGAACTTGTGGACATGATTCTTATTTACGAGGGGGGGGGAGTTTTTACAAAATGCTGCCGCGGCATCACGGATTTATGCGGATCGGTTTCCCAATCGAGTGCAACCCCCTCGTGCCTTTGTTAATGTAGTACAAAGGGCTCGTGAATCAGGTGACCTCACACGAGCCGGTGCTTCAAGACCGCGCGATCAAATACAGGTCCCCACTGAAATACTTGTCGGGAGGATACTTTATAAAACAAGGTAACATTTTTTCTTTATTTTTTTTTATTTTTACACACATATTTTGGTTTATCTTCCTTCTACAATCATTATCTGAAAATTAATGACTCAACTTCAAAGTATAATTGCTCATTACTTCTACTCGTCTCATCAAGTTGCATAGACTTTATAGCAGACACTATCTCGTCTTCGTTTCTAAAGTTGGCAAATAATGAATCTGCAGGTTCTAAAAACGCCTGTTTTATGATTTCCCCGTCTTCATAAGGTTTCTGCTTTTGTGTAGTTATCTGGTATGATTTTTCAGTTGCAGCCTTACTGTTGTCGATTGTTTTTAAAAACATTGTCTGTTATCCAATTAACTGATTTTTTAATTGTTTCAGTTTTTCCGTTCTGGTTGCAGAACGTAATGGGAATGCTTTTTCAAAATTCGAATCTACAGTTTTATAGTGAATCTTGATATTCCCTTTTTTAGCAGCGGAAGCAGGTGTATTACATAACAAACATACATTTTTACCTTTAAATGGTATGTCCTCATCTTCTTACAACTGCTCATAATGTTTTCAATTGCAGACCAACTCTAGCCCAACCGCTGGACTTTGTGTCGTTAGTTTTAAACTGAGCGCATTGTCGCCGCGCCTTGCGTATTTATTCCGCTCAAAGTAGTCGAGATCGTTCTCGAACAGATCGCTCACCGCAGTGTTGCCGCTGCTTGTATTTATTATGAGAATTTACAAAGTTTACGGAAGCTTCTATGATGTTTACACTTTTTTAAAATATGTTGTGGTAGCTCGCGATCGACGGTTTGGCGACCACTGATCTAGTAGATAAAATAATCTTTCGAAAAGAAATTCTACTTGACCATCTGACAGTAACCTTGAATTTGACCGATATTTTGACATTAAAGATGAATCAAGAGAGCCCAAGTTGGCTCGGCTTACACAGGTTTTTGTATGTTACCACTTTTAATAATTCCAATGCCTACTGGTGTAGTTGCCAATATTTTCGTCGGTCGGTCTCTCCGCTATCCTATAATCGCCTATAATTTGAGAAGTACCGTTCGGAAAAGGTCAAAAACAAAAAAAAAACGGTGGTCCCCCGATGGACAAGCGTCGTCGTCGGTGGTCGTATGTCATAATCGGCAACCTCTTTGGCACTGCTGTGGGCTGAGTACAGTGAAGGCCAATTCCGTCATTCACGTGGGATTGGTCAGCGGGAGAAGGAAGATCGTTTAATACATTTTCGTAGCTAACCTTTTCTCGGAAGTTCTAACTTGTGCTAAAGATAATCCGTTACGAACTGATTTCAATAAAATATCAGGAAGAATGGACTCGAATTCATTTTAAAGTCGTGGTAGGAACAAATCAGTAAAATGTACATTGGCCATCCTGTATTTTGGTGAGTAGCATCAAGGTCCGAGTAAGTCAACCAGTCCATTTTTCTAGGACTACCCACTACCAGTTTGAAACAACCCCAAAAATGTCAACGTACCTGATAGCATTCGTGATATCCGAGTTCACTTGTTCAGCATGGAACATGCCAGAAGTCAACTCCGTGAACAAAGTTTGCTCTAGGGCCCAGAAAGAAGACACCAGAAGGTGGGCCGTTGAAGTATCACCAAAACTTTTGAGCAGCTTGAACGCCTATACTGGTATTCCATATACTAGTTCTATGAAGAAAGTGGATCAAGTCGCCATTCCGGATTTCAGATCGGGCGCTATGGAAAACTGGGGACTGATTACGTACAGGTAAGAATTGAAGAATGCCCGCATTCGTGAGCATTACATTATGACGCACTTTATTTTTCATCAATCAATCAAATCTTAGGCAAGAGACGATGAAACAAGCTGAAGACAATTTATTGCATATACAGGGTGCCCAATAAGTACCACGACAAACTTAAGGAGAAGGTAGGATTTGAACTGACCTCCCAAATAACAAAAACTTACCTATATAAAACTGACACCGTTATTGAGATATTGAATTTTTTCTTAAATTTTAAAAAAACGAACTTTTTCATCTGTGGTCTTCAGCTGCATGTACAAATAAGGTTATACTTTGTTCATTTTTTATATAAAATACTTCTAAATAGTTGCTTTATCATATACAAATGCAATGTAGTTAAATATATTAAGGAACCATGGTATGAATAATATGTTCTTCGAAATTCAGATATAGATTCCTAAGAATTTCGTACAATGCGATTGGTCGCTAGATTTATTTGCAAGAAATAGGCTTCATCTATGATGTTACTTACACCTTTCAGAAAGTATGGATCATACCCATGGATCTTTCTAATCCATTCAAATTCGTTGGTAGTGACGCACTGAATTGAACCACAAAAGTGAAATTTGCGCGCATTGGTGTGAGAAGACGCTGGTTTGTGATCTGTTCGAATTTCTTCCAGAGAAGCTATGTTCCTCTACGACCCCAAAGAGGACCAATCTATCGATAAGCAAACTGTAGCTAGGGTTATAGCGCACGAACTTGCTCACTCGTGGTTCGGAAATTTGGTCACCTTGGCTTGGTGGTCGGAAGTATTCCTTAACGAAGGTTTTGCTAGATATTTTGAGCACAAAGCGGTCAACGAGGTAAGGTGAACATTAGGATCGACGCAGGTACAAAGTTTCACATTTCATTCACATTGAACTCTGTGAGACGACATGGTACGAGTATGAACTGCGATGTATTGACTTCATACAGAGTGTTCGACAATAAGTGAAAAAGATGCTCCGAGAACGGTTTGAGGGTCAGCGGTAGCGTTAGGCGGCTGAAGATTTTGACAGTGTTTTGATATATGTCATCAAAACATCAAGCTTACCTCGTTTGTGCGATTTTTTTCGATACTACATCCTAGATACCAAGTATACGGGATGTTCGAAAAATAGACGGAGATATTTCAGAGGGTGATTCCTTGTTAAAAATTATGATAAAAGTTTTTATAAGCTTGGGCGGAAATGCAGTTTTTAGAATACAGGGTAATACTTTTTTTATTTATGTATTAAAAAATATTCACTCGATTGTGTTGAACTTTGTAATAATGTTTGTTTAGCTCTAAGGATATTAAAATTATTACGCCCCGTGCCACCTCAAGGAGCACCTTAGTGAATATTATCGGCAAAAAATGTACGCCACTACCTTTTTTGTCACTTTAATATTTATTGTTTTATTAAGCATCTAAAAATACAGCTTCGTTGTCTTTTGTATTTTTTCGGTATCTCACTACGTTAACGTTAAAAAAATCGTTTTATTGCATGTCACTGTTCAAAATTGGCTTATTAGTTGTTCTTGTTGATGGACATGATTGGGATAGTACTGACGCGAAAATGTCAAACCTCCATGCAGAAACGATTTTTTGTTATCCAAGGTCCTTGTCATTCTTTTAGCAAAAATTAATTAAGGAATTTTGTCCAGTGACTTACAATAAAACGTTTTTTGCTCGATAACGAAGTAGGATACAAAAAAACACACAGGAAAACAAGAAGTTGTATTTTTAGATGCTTAATCAAACATCATACTATGTCACTACTACTAATGTCACGAATTCCTGTTAAGGAGTGACAGATTAGGTCAAAAGCAACCGATTTTGTCATATATTGTCCTATCCAGAAGTTAACCGTTTTTGAGTTATTTGAATTTTATTTTTTTTATTTTTTATTCCGATTTCAGAAGGTTAAATTTGAAATACAAAAAAACTACATGTTTGATTTTGAATTTTTTGTTATCGTCGCATTGTGGACATTCCAATAGTTCACAATAAGTAATAAAATGTTGAAAACTTACAAAAGTTTTAAAATTACGCTTTTGAAATGTATGATTTTCTTATTTTATTACTAACATATTCGATAAAAAATGCAATTTTCTGTAAAAAATATCCTAGTAATGAAATGTGCAAATTATGTAAATAATATATCTATCTAACAAGCTTTCATTTGAGGTACAAAAGTTACAACTAACTCAAGTACAAAGACATAAAATTAAAAAAAGATGAGTAAAGTTGTACGAACGATAATTACGTAGGATAAATAAAAGGCTTTTATTTTAATTACAGTTTTGTTTAATTACATTTTCTTTAGTATTTTACAGATTCTGCTCAAATTGTAATCCCCTGTTACGAATACACGCCCGCATTCTCTTACGTAATTCACTTTTGGCAACTCTAGTTGTTAAGCGGCTTTTTATTTGGTCAGCTGCAATGATTATCCTTGTAATTAATTCATCGCGCGTTGGTACGGGCGAAACATCGTACATCAGGCTTTTCATATGTCCCCACACATAGTAATCCATCGGTGTGAGATCTGGGCTTCTTGCTGGCCAGGCAATGGGCCCTCCTCTGCCAATCCATTGATTTCTAAATTTAGAGTCTAAATACGCCCATACTAATCTACTAACTAACCGCATATTTTGTCTAGTCGCCAATGGGACGTCTTCCATTAATGGAAACAAGTGATTTTTCAAGAACTATTTATACACTTCTCGATTTAAATTGGCGGGCAGAAAATGAGGTCCAATGAAATATCCATCAATGATGCCCATCCACACATTGACTGAAAACCGGCTCTGAGACCCCGTCGGTCTTATTTTTCGGGGGTTTAAAGCTTCTTTATCAGCCCAGTAATGAGCATTATGGTAGTTAGTGATCCCGTCCTTATCAAACTTCGATTCATCGGAACACAGAATTTTATCTCATGTAACATGTACCTGCAGAAATCTAATCGTCTTCAATCACATGCACAGGCGTGTAGTTATAAGGGTATAATCTTGCAGTATGCACAGTAAACCATACTTTGTATTGTGATATACCCAACTGACGTAGTAGGGTCTTCCTGAAACACACGAAGGATTTCCTCTCCAAACACAGTAACATGAGGTGCTCGGCGATTCGGGAAACGTTGCCGATATTCACGGCGGGCAGCTGCAGAATCGCCGTTACAAAGTCCATAACAGAACATTATGTCTGTGTATTCTTCATTTGTAAAAGTTTGCCCGTGCTCGCTATGGCGAGGTCCTGGCGAATCTTCTGCGTCTGCCATGATGATAACTAAACCTAATTCTCACTCGGCGTGCGGCGATGGCGTAACTACAATGATGAATAATAACAGCTCTCTCTCTCTCACTCCTCCACTAAGTCAGCTCTTCTCGCTCGCATAAAACAATCATGGCATGCGAGTCCTTTGAGGAGAGTAACGACTTGTTCAAACAGGTAATACAACTTCCTTAAAAATCCAGCCTCTGAGGGTGTCATTGTTGTTTCTCTGCATGTACTTCAGATAATTGAACGCTTAATACCTCAAATGAAAGCTTGTTAGATAGAGATATTATTTACATAATTTGCACATTTCATTACTAGGAGATTTTTTACAGAAAATTGCATTTTTTATCGAATAAGTTAGTAAAAAAAAAGAAAATGATACGTTTAAAAAGCGTAATTTTAAAACGTTTGTAGCTATTCAACATTTGATTACTTATTATGAACTACTGGAATGTCTGCTATGCGACGATAACAAAAAACTCAAAATCAAGCATGCAGTTTTTTTGTATTTCATGATAGGACAAAATCGGTTGCTTTTGACCTAATCTATCACCCCTTAACAGGAATACGTGACATTACAAGTTACAATGTATATTAAATTAGCAAAAAAGGCAGTTGCGTCAATTTTTTTACCAATAATATTTGCTAAGGTGCTCCCGGGTCGCCATTGGACCTAATAATTTTAACCTATTTAGGGCTAAATAAGCTTCTTAATACAACGAATAATACTGCCAAAATTCGTCTGAATCGAATGCAGACCAATACTCACAGTTATCCAGATGCGATCTCTCAGCCAATCTTCTTTCTGTCATAAGTTCGCAGAGATACACTCTACAGACATTGTGCCACCAACCAAGCATGGTCATTGAGCGTGACATTTAGTCATTCTTTCATAGATGATGCTTCTGGTGACGCCCCAGCGCTCATAGCGAACAAACGCGGCATGAAGTATCTGCATACTAGGAACTATCTATATAGTTCTAAGTTGGTATTTTGGTGTTCTTTTTCATTACATAGCCGTTCTTAACCAGAATCAAAATCAATGTTTTCTATTGATCTAGAGAGGCCCAGTTTCTGTTCGATCCTTCAGAAGACACGGTTACTACTAAACAGTCTGCAACATGTACAATAACACACGAACTCTCCCACTCCTGGTTTGGAAACTTGGTCACAATGGCTTGGTATTCAGTGACTTTTCTCAATGAAGGATTCGCTACATATTTCGAAACTTTTATAACTAACGAGGTAATTATTATCACTTTCTGTATGCTACTAATATAGCCTGTCTGTTAATTCAGAGGTTTAAGTATAAAACTATTACCGATACGTATTTTGGCTGTTGATAAAGGATGCAATGACTGATTGAAATGTGAAATTTTAGTATCTGTAGTGGTACCTGCTTAGTGTAAAACTATTGATTAACCTATTCTGCCTGAAGATAACTAATCATATACGAGACTGTATTTCGGCATCCAAAAAGGGATGTGAGAGATACTATACTATCTATGAGACAGTATTTATTTGTTTATCTATTACAATTTGGGGTGTTCACAGCCAAAGTCAACACACATCCGTTACAATAAAATATGAGTAATGTGTACAAAATTAAAGGATCTTAATACGATGTGTTTTTCATATAAAAACTTCGCCTTTACTTTACCCTTAAATATAGTGATCTTATCACAAAACAAGTCCTCTTCACGAACCTGACTGTAGGATCTTTGTGCTTTTAATGGAGAATTATTCGACAATATGGTGACTCAAATATCTTATAGTGATGATAACTCCTATCTGGAACTTTAAACTGAACTAGGGAAAGCAGATTATTAATTAATTTATATATACAGGGTGTCCGCAAAGTTGGGGTTTTCCTTTACACGACGCGACGTGTAGATCTTGAAAACATAAGCAATTTTTCTTAGTACCATATACATCAATGTCTTAAGGGAACCGAAATAAAGGGCTCTGCAACATCAAAAATATCTGAACACCGTCCTGTAGCCGCGACATCACCGACTGGTACAAGGTCACTGTCTCAACCCGACGACAGAACTGGGTCGGGGTCAGTGTGTCAGGTCAGTATGCAACCTTCAACCGACGGTTACGGTCACGCGTGTAGAGGTAATCGCGTAGACGAGAATCCCTCAACAAGCACTAGAGACGTGGCTAGAGAAGTGCAAGTATCAAAAACTAAAGTGTGGCATACGCTGCGTGAAGAGGGGCTGTATCCGTTTCACGTCCAACGTGTACAAGCCCTCAACCTGACAATTTTCCAGCAAGAGTGCGGTTTTGTGAGTGGTTGTTGCATCAACATGACAATAATACGGACTTTTTGAAGTGCATATTGGTGACAGACGAATCTACGTTCACGCGTAATGGGGTGAATAGCTTTCACAACACTCATGTTTGGTCAGTAGAAAATCCGCACGCTGTCCGTCGGGCACATTTTCAACAAAAATTTTCGGTGAATGTTTGGGTTGGCATGGTGAACGGTATGCTCATTGGACCATTTATTCTCCCAAATAGATTGGACGGGATGCAATACCTAGACTTTTTACGCAACATTTTGCCTTCCTTGTTAGAAGATGTGCCATTAAGTGTAAGACAATCAATGTGGTTTCTGCGTCTGCTCGGTAGCGCAACAGCTGATTTCATTTTCTGTTGGAGCGGTATGATTTCGGGCAGAGACGTACTTAGCCCTTCTCGTCAACTGGAGATTGAGTACTTTTTCCTTTATTTTCTTTGACTTGGTCGCCCTCATTTCACTACACATTACCTTTGTTATTTTAAGGGTAGCTGTTTTTGAAAAGGAAAACCCCAACTTTGCGGACACCTTGTATAACGAATAGCATATATTTTTCTTCTATGTGATAACATGTTGAATCTTTTTGGACCATAATTGCCCTCAGTGTTAGGAGTGCCACATTTGAAGGCAAGTGTATGAGAAAATTTTGGATTTTTTCAATTCAATACGAGTGAGTGGCTTAGAAAGCATTCCACATAATTACATTTATCCAAGTTCAGAAAACGCTGTTTTTGTCTATGTAATCAGCTATCTTATTGGATATTTTTGCAGTCTCTAATACATTGAACTGTAGAAAAAAGTTTCAAGTCTTCAGTGTATAATAGATGTAGAAGAAACAGATCAATTCAGACATCTGCTTTGAAAAGAGTTAGATTATTTGGTTCTGCTACTATCTCATAGATAGCGCTAGAACCCTCAATCCCTTTTTGAAACGTCTCGAGTTTTTGAAATATTTATACATCATTTTATAAAAAATTACACACACTGTAAAAAACGTACTGAATGATAGGAAAAAGAACACCAAGTAATAATTCATTTATCACAAAAAAAAATTATACATGCCTCTCACGGTTAGGTAAGTAATTGATAGAGATTTCAGAAAGATCCAACTGTTTAAGAACTTGTCAAAAACCCACTTCTCGCCTCCTATCAAACTCGCTAAGCTCTAGGCATAATGGACATATTAAATCAGCCCTTCACAACGTTTTTTGCTATAACCTAAATAAACATATACCTAAAGAATCTTTGTAATACATTGGGTCTTCTTTTTTCTATGCCATTTAGTTGAATTGAAATTCCAGGAACGGGTCTGTCGTAAAATCGGTATTTACATCGTAGTCGTTACGTCGTATAACTGTACGCTGGCGCTGGCGCTGTGGACGTGATCGAGCGATAGGGCAGGACCGGCTTCGGTTTGGTTCAGGTTTCTTAAGACATTGGTGTATATGCTACTGAGAAAATCCGCTTATCTTCTCAACATCTACAGGTCGTGTAAAGGAAAACCCCAACTTTGTTCAGTTGGAGACATTATCTTTGGGACAGCAGCAAGAAATAAGCTACCGGAGTGCTCGTTGAACTTGTAACCTCAAGCTTTAACACCATTCAGGCTACGAATTCAACGACTTTGTACGTTACATTCATTCCAACTTTTATAAACTGTAGCTGCTTAGTATTATTCCTAGCCCTGTCCCACAGATAACTGTATCTCAACTACTCAACTACACAACAAGCAAAACCTTGAGCTCTCTCGAATGGCCATTTTAATTGAGTATCTTCAGGTGGAATACTAAACAAGGCAGGCATTAGAGAGGTGCCGCTAACACGCTTGATTTGTCGGTGCTTTCAGAATTAATTACAAATATGTTTCAGGTTTTTCCTGATTGGGAACTTGATAAACAATTTGTAGTGGCTACATTACAGTCAGCTTTAGCTACAGATGATCTACAAAGTATCCAAGCTCTACAATCAGAGGTCATAACTCCTGCTCAAATTGACGCCAAGTTTAAAGCAGACACTAGTTATGGAAAAGGTATGTTCAAACCTCCTATAAAATATTCTCCGCGATACAGTAACGTTGTTGATATTATTTACCCACATGTTATACCCAATATCACACATGTCTGCTTTAGTATCTCGGTCTGTGATATCCCTTACCAGCGGAAGGTCCGATCTGAATTCAGCAACACCGACGCTCAGAAATAGCCGACATGGTATCGATAATTTTAGAAAATAATATTTTTCCAGTTTTACTAACATAAGTCAGTTCACAAGTCGGATCGACGCGAAGACTACCTTCTTTGTAGCAAACGTGGTACCTCGGCATTCAGGCTTTGCCTCTGCGGCGGCCCAAGTACGAACACGCATCAAGTCAGAAAGTATCCACGGTCTCAAAAATGTGAAAGTTTTCAACAAATGCAAAAGTTTTCAAAAACCACTTTATCGTTTCATGAATATTCCTTTTTTAGGTGGCAGTATTTTGCGTATGGTCGAACACTTCATGGGTTCTGAGCAGTTCAAATCAGGAATTCAAAAATATTTGATGCTCAAGTAAGTGATGCGATATAGTTAAGGGCAATAACAAAACATCATTCACTTTGTTGTTGTTTTAAAGGTATATTTTAATACAACAAGTTTGCAGATAGACGTTCCGGGAACAAGTTGCGCAACATGTGACTGCATTTTGTATATACAGGGTGGCGCATCGAAAAAGAAACAGACGCATTTACTGGCAGCTCAGATTTTTTTTTTGGAAAAACGCTCAGACACGTCGATTTTGTTTTCGAGGGGGACACAAGTTTGGCAAAAAGTCACGATAACACGTGCAGCCTCCTAGGCGGGGGTGACACCAACCCTAAAATCTTAAATGGAAAGGGGGGTCGAGTGATACCTTATTTTAAAGGTCTTTCAATTCCCTTTATAATGATATAAAATTAATGTACTTCAGTTCAGTAGTTTTGAAGATTTATTCATTTAAAGATTAAATAAAACTAATACATCATCATTAGTGGAGATCAATACATTTGGCAGCAAAGTGATTTAAAAATGAAGAATGAACTGACCCGTTAGGCAAGTAAATGTTGAAAATGGCCACCATGACTCTCCATGCAAGAATAAAGATTTTGGTCAAAACGTTGCCGCACATTTTGCAATATTTGAGGAGTAATTTGAAGGCACTCACTCAGTCATAATTCTTTGTCGCAGGTCTTCTAATGATGTTGGCTGAGTAGCATAGATTTTGCTTTTTAAATGACCCACATAAAGAAATCCAAATATGATAAATCTGGGGATCTTGGGGGCCATTCAATGGCACCTCTTACCTCTTCTGCCAATCCATCGATCTGGAAACGTCTTATCTAAATATTGTCGAACACGTAATGCGTAATGTGCTGGGGCACCATCCTTTAGCAGTATTTTTGTTTCAGTCAGTACAGTAACGTCGAACCTTCAAACCTGTGGGCTGCCTTGTCGATAAATGTAGATAATACAGTGTCAAATCTGCCACAAAGCTTAGCAAATGTCATGGAAAATTGGATAACAAAAGCTGGATATCCTCTGATCACTGTTACTAAGACCAGCAATAATGTGATAGAGTTGAAGCAGGTGAGTTCACATTGCCCCAATACAAATCAACGGTTCTAATGAATTTTATGTCAAAGCTCAATAACAAAAAAAGAAAGATGAACTAAAGATGCCTACCGTCAGCTTGTAGCGAAATTGCGATAAATTTCGGCTCGAAAATATGAATTTTTGTCATTTCATTATAGTAGGGGAACTCAGAACAAGCTAAATGAAGACTAATGGGTCTTGAAGATTAGATTGCAAACAGAAAAAAAGTTATACGAATATTATGTATACTTTATCTGAAGTCACTTGAAATAGCATAAAAACCTTTGGTCGGCGCCTCCTTTGTAATTTCATGACGTATCATAGGCGTGCGGTCATTTATTTAGAACGATAATAATAATGTTTTTATATCACAATAAATGGATTTTACTATCTTCTTATTTTTTTGATTTGGGATAAAAAATACTTATATTGGGAGTTTAATTTATGTTGACTGAAAGTTAAGAAATGGAAAAATTACAGAATTCCAACGTTTGACATAGGCAAATATTTACATAGCAGGTAGGTATATAAAAAGGTATATAAAGACTTACATTATAGGTATTTATATATCATCCTCGCCTTTGGATCTGTCGCTAGAGTCATCTTGTAGAGGAATTACAACGGGATTTACAGGAGGCAAAACACAATATTCATTTTCTTTTTCAATAATATGCCTAGAACACTGCTTCCATAGATCTGTGACATCAATATGAGATACTGGATCTCTTATTGTGGCCAATAGCGATTCACTTAATTGAGGGGTCTGGTTATGTTTTCTTAATTTTTTTTTAAAGCAGCCCAGACCAACTCAATCGGGTTAAAAATGCAGTAATAGGGAGCTGGACGTAATACTTCATGGCCATTTTGTTGAAGCAGATTGTCAACAACATACTCTTTTTCAAATTTTTGTTTTTTAATAAGATCCAATAATATGGCTTTGGTTGATTTTTGTGGTATTTCCATTCCCTTATCCTTCATAAAATCAATAATGTCTTGTTTTTTTTGTGCCTGTATTCGGAATTTTGTTTTTCTGTCGGGAATGGTATGGCGCATTGTCCATAATAATCACTGAATTTGGGGAAATGTTTGGTATTAACTGCTGCTCTATCCACTTTTCAAATAAGTCGGAGGTCATGTCCTCATGATAGTCGGCTCATGATTCTTTGATATTTTTGGCAGATAACAGCAAGGCATTAGGTATAAATCCATTTTCACTGCCAGCATGGAGAATAATGATTCGTTTTCCACGGTCGCATGGTGCATTTAAAATGCACTTGTTGCTGTCGTCAACCCAGCCGTACTGCACAACATCATGGGTATCATACCACGTTTCATCCAGGTAAATCAGATTTCTTTTCTGCTCTCTATAGATTTTAACTTTGTGCAAAAATTCTTGGGGCAATTCAACGATTCGAGACGACTCCATAATCACCATTCTTTTATCTAATTTTTTGTATTGAAAACCACACAGTTTTACAATACAGTGCAGTGAGTCTAAGCATTTGTAATTATAAAAATCTTCAGGATAATCTTTTAATTTATCCCGTATCGTTTCCAACGTGGGCACCAAATTTTCTTTATAAAATCCGTATATTATACGACGAATATCTTCCTGAAAACCCACGCCTATTCTTTTTAATTTTTGCACTATGCGCTTTCTGTGGAAGGAATGGTTAACTACATCTCCCCTTTTTACAACCCGATAAATGGTAGACCGACTGATTTTTGTCAGGATACAAATTCTGTTTAAAATTTGATTTTGCGAGGAATCTGGATTTTCGTTTTTCAGACAATCATACATATTTAGGATTACTCTTTGGGTCTGTTCCTCTAAATCTTTATGAAAGAATTCTGCCTGCACAGGTTCATCAACCATCTCCTCGTGGCTTGGAGCATTTTCCCAAGGTCTCCAAAGAGCCATATTTAGGACACACAAGAACAATCAACACAACAATTAAATCAACAAGTAAACTGAGTATTCAAAAGTCAAAAACACACAAACTAATAAACTGTTTCAATTTTCAGTAGCCACCTGCACTTGTTCGGAGCTCTGAAATACACGCTTTCTCATTGGCTATATCCACGCATAGGCGTGCTTTACTCCACGTGGACCGGTGAAACTGCCTTTGATCTTATACGGGGGATATTTGCTGCGAAATTTGGCGATTTTTGCAGCAACAGAGCGTGTTAAATATAGATATATAAAACGCACCCGGTATTTCACAGTGTTTCAAGTGACTTCACAAAAAGTATATATACTTTCAGTGGTGGGTGCAACATCTTTTCGAGTCCGCGTCCGTTGAGGGAAATGGTAAATGCTTACATTACCTGGATTATTTCTTTACGAAATGGCAACCTACGCCGTTCTCAACAAAGAAATATTTAGTCTAAATAACGACATACATGGTATCAATACACGACAATACATACACGTAAATTTTATGGAATACAAAATTTGGCTGCGGGTCTTCTAAAATGCTGGGCTCAAGAATCTTCAATAAATTGCCCAATGATATTAAAAGGATAAAAAGCTTTAATGTCTTTAAGGTGGAGTTGAAAGCCTATTTTGTTGATAATTATGATGTCCATCCCCTACTATTTTCTGACAAATACATATTGATATCAGTTACCTAGAGTTAGTAACTGATAATGTGTTAATAAGGAAAAATATACGAGGGATGTCTTTTAAGTTTTGCATATGGAAATAAAACCACACGGTAGGAAGTTTTAAATGACTTTATTGTTTTTCGAAGTATTCTCCACGAAGATTAATACACATCTGCAAGCGCTCGAACCAATTTTCAAAGCACTTATTCCACTCGTTTGCTGGCAGATCCAAAACGGCATTTTTGAATGAGTCTTCTGGTGACTGGAACCTTTGACCACGCAGACTGTTTTTAATTTTCGGCAAAGTAAAGAAATCGTTAGGACTTAGATCGGGACTATATGGAGGATGGTCCAATAATTCCACGTTTTCTTCTGTTAAATACTGGCTGTGTGCGAGCTTGCATTGTCTTGGTGGAGGATGATACTTCTTTCGTGGTTGATTTTTCGAAGCTCGGTGATGACTTTTGGCAAACAAATGGTGGTATAGCAATCCGCAGTAACAGTTCTTTGCTTATTAAGAGGAATTGTTGCAATATGACCCGCTTTTGACTCAAATGTCGCGACCATCTTTTCCGAAACACTTCGAGAACGGATGATTTTTGTTGGCTTTTCTTCACCTTGGAACACCCAAACAGCCGACTGTCGTTTATTTTCTGGTTCATAACAGTAAATCCACGATTCATCACCACTAACAATGCTGTGCATATTTTTTGAGTTTCCGGAATTGAAACGGTCAAGCGTTTTTTGACACCAATTAACCCTGGCTGCTTTCTGCTCTTCAGTCAACAGGTGGGGTATCTAACGACGAGAAACTAATTTTCTTAGTCCTAATTCTTCATGTAAAATTTTTTGAATTGAAGTCTTTGAGATCTTCAAGGACGCCTCCATCTTGCGGTATGTCACATGTCTATCTTCAGTGATGAGTTTGCGCACAGCATCGACGTCTTCCTGGGTGACTGCCGTTTCTGGTGCACCCACCCTGGGATCGTCGCTAAGACTCACCCGTCCACGTTTCAATTCACCATACCAACAGGAAATTGTCGACTGATGTGGCGCTTCGTTGTCTCTGAAAGTTGTAACAAATTATGGCGCGAAAATGTTCTCGGTTGAGTTCCATTTTTCTAATGACTTGGTGACACTTAAGAATTCACTGTAGTGAGATTACTGCACGTATTGTTGTGAATCTTTGAATTTAAGTTTACTAAAGAGTGAGGTTAAGATTCAGTACTGACGTTCGATCCGCGCGGCCTACTATGTTTCTGTATGCAAAACTTAAAGGACATCCCTCGTACTTCATCATAGTCAACAGGAATTTATTGTAACGCTAAGAGTACTGATTGCAGGAGCGTTTCTTATTCTCTGGCTCGGATACAACAACAAAGTGGTACGTTCCTGTAACTTACACAACGTCCGTGGACGAAAACAAGTTCCAAAAGACATCTACTCAACTATGGATGCAACCAGACAAAGACGCACAAATTCAGCTGCCTGAAGGAGCATCTTGGATAATTTTGAATAACCAACAAACAGGTATCTAACAATTGGATAGGTAGTTCCAAAGCATCAATTCCAAAAATAAAATAAAAAATATCTGGTTACAATTATTTATTTGGATAGTAAGTACATGCTGTTCTGAAAGTCGGGGCTGTCCTTTGCAGAAACAACTCTGTACCTCAGAGCCAGACTAGCTTAAGTCCAAATAAGCACTTCTGAGTTATTTCTTGCATTGTACTGTATGGGACTTGACATGAGTTGAAAACTCACAATATTATCGTAAGCTTAACATGTTAAACTCATTTTTAACAAAAATGGACTTAACCTAAAAGATTCTCAGATACATTATCTCGATTTTTAGTTGGCCAGTACAGTTGATTTGAAATTATAAGTACCGTTCTATCAAATGCTGCTCACAAATGCTGCTCGAAGTTATTGTCGTTCGATACAAAAACACAATTTCTTCATCAACTTGCAATATTCGGGGCTATTCAGGTCTCCCATTGAATCCACCTCGAAGTTCGTTCAACCGGTCTTTGTATGAGATAAAGCAAACCTACACGGCGCGAGATGGAAACATCCAACGATCTGGCTTTTCCAAATATCGCAGTTTTCTTGGGGATTCAGTAGTGTGGTTGTATCAACGAGCCGTATTCATAAAAGAGAAGTATATCCTCTGAAGGATAAGGTAAAAGTATAAGGTCTTGCTTCGGAGAAAAAGGTAGAAGTATAAGCATATCCTTGTTGTCATATTCATAATGATTACCTTATACTCGCGAAGAAGTGAAAGGTTGAATTGGTAATTGTATCTTGAGCGACATGTCCTGACTTGTTCCAGCTTGTAGTTGACGAGGGAGTTCGTTCACTCAGCATCACTGACAGTTGTACTCCAGAGCTCACACAGTCCGTACCGTATTTTTACTGGATACAGTTTTTTTATCAAATTAATAAGCATGTCATCCTCAAGTGATGAGGAAACTATAGAAAATAATGGCAACGACCTGCAGTTCATCGTAGATGAAATTGCCATTGCTCCCATTATTTTGCAAAAGTCACAAACTCCAAAAATAAAAATGAGAAAGGACGATGCCTTGAAGAAGATGTTGAAAAACACGAATCAACATTCGGTAAACCATTAGATACTAAAGGCTTATTAAAAAAATCAACAACATGAAATCAAGATTGAATAAAAAAAACAGATCTAAAAAAAACTGGTAATAAAGCAATTAAATTGTTAGATTGGGAAAGAAAGTTGGAAGTATGGAAGGTGAATGTAATCCTACAATTGGGAAAATCAGAGGTGCCATTCAGGTTGGTAGTGTTCAAGAAGAAGGAAGTGAACTATATACCGAGCGCAGTGAGCAAACAGCTAGTATAAGAAAATTAGCAACAGAGAAATACGAAACTGAGGAAGCGAAAGGTTAACTAAAAAAGAACTGCAACATCTAGTGCTATTTCAGCAGCACTTCAAAATTCGCAAGTACAAGGATATCCTTTGTTTTATGAATACGGCTCATTAACTGAAAGATACTAGGAATATTTGCTGGTCTTCACAAAAACTATACGCTGTACGAGGGGAAGTCCCAACCAAGAACACTCTGTATGATCAGGGTCATTATGATGCGGATGAAAATTATTCTTTTACAGTGGGAAATTTTCCACTTTTTCAGGATTTTATCGAGTGAACTACGATGACACTTTGTGGGCTGAAATTGAAAAGGCATTGAAAAGTGACTCATTCGATGACATAGGGGAATTGAACAGAGCTCAAATAGTGGATGACTTGTTCAGTTTGGCCAAAGCAAATAAAATACCATACAGTAAAGCACTGAAAGTTATCAAATTCATCAGTAACGATGTGTCCTATTATACGTGGTTCTCTGCAAACAGAGGATTCAACTTCTTGCTTGACAAAATTGGATTTGAGTCTGATTTGGGTAGAGCTATCAAGGTAACTGGTATTTCACTGTATTCATCTCTTTAAACCTAAAAAAAACTTCTAAATTCAGTTTTAAAAATTAAAATTATCTAGGGACAATCCTGGGCTGGACTCGACTTTTTCAAGTTATTGCTTTTTAACTTAATCAACACCTTTTAAGCTGAATGTTTGACTATGTCCAAAGAAAGGTAATGGTTGGTGGAAATTAATTACCAAAACAGATTGATTGCATCTCTTCTAGTTTTTTTGTAAATTTTTTTTATTCGTTCAAATATCTTATTTTTAACAATCTTTGGCGCAAAAGCCAAAATTTCAAGGGCTGCGAACTCCATTTCATCAGCATTTTCAAAAAAATAATGCTTCAAGTTGAATTAACGATTTTTTGCGAACGCAAAGTTTCAGGGTCGGATGCAGTTTTTTCATTTCCTTGTATTTTACTAAGTGCAGCGCCCTGAAAGTCAAACTCTGGATTTATTATAATTTGAAAAAAAAACATGTTATATCCTGCTACATAATTAGCACCATTCATTGGATTCTTATTTAAAGTATTCAACCATTTCAATGTTTAACTTAAAAGGTATTGATTTTGATAAAAAACAAAAAAAAACGAATCGGCCCTAGTCCGTCTAGTTTTACGTCACTGCTAGGTGACTTTGCTATAATACAAAATTTTAACAAAATTGGTGCAATATTGGCCGAGATATGTGATATTAAATGTTTGTCGTGTTTATATCCGTGAGAACTGAATTTAGGACTTTTTTATTTTCAGATACGTAAAGGTCTATTATGTTGACTTAAGTAATACATAGGTACATTTATTTAAAGGCTATCTCAATTTCTCTTCAAATTACTCCTCAAATATTGCAAAATGTGCGGCAACGTTTTGAGCAAAATCTTTATTATTGCATGGAGAGTCATGGTGGCCATTTTCAACATTTACTTGCCTAACGGGTCAGTTCATTCTTCATTTTTAAATTACTTTGCTGCCAAATTTATTGATTTCCACTAATGATGATGTATTAGTTTTATTTAAGCTTTAAATCAATAAATCTTCAAAACTACTGAACTCAAGTAAATTAATTTTATATCACTATAAAGAGAATTGAAAGACCTTTGAAATAAGGTATCATTCGACCCCCCTCCATTTAAGATTTTGGGTGGTGGTGTCACCCCCGCTTAGGGGGCTGCACGTGTTAACGTGTTTTTTTGCCAAACTTGTGTCCCCCTCGAAAACAAAATCGACGGGTCTGAGCGTTTAAAAAAAAAAATGAGCTGCCAGTAAGTGCGTCTGTTTCGTTTTCGATGCGCCACCCTGTATAATGATCTGCCTGTTACATTAAAAAACTATACATACTATTTAATTTTAAAAAGAGGCTTAACTAAAACTATAAGTCGAGGTCTGATAATGAATACAAAATGCTAGAAATATGGACTATTCTTGTAATTGTCTGTTTTTTTTGTTGTTAATTATTTAGTAATTATTGAGAATTCTCGATACATTTTCATTGGTGGAATGTTTTATTATATATTTTTTTGTTTTTTCAAAGATTAAGTTGAAAATCAGATGCCCTTATGATATTACTTGTGATTGAACCATTTTAAATTTTCATCTGGGAAACTAAAATATTGAACGAAGCCTACTACAAAGAGATCCAACTGTAGAACTAGGAGTTTCAGTGTCATGTGGTTACTGCTGTCAAATTGACCTTGATTTTTGAAAGAAGTTATTTCCAGCTCAAGCAAAAATGAAGGTCAAATAGGATTATCTCAATGTCTGTTCTGAGAACACTGGAAAACTCTTGAACAGTGTTCTGAGAGATTTTGCGACGAGATTGTATTTGTCCTTGAGCTACATTTCGTTTTTTAAACTTGAAAGTTTGTATCATGAATTTTAAGATCAAACTATTATTATCAATAGGTGCTAAAGAAGCCTTTTTTGAAGGAAGACTACAAAATCAGGATGTTTTGCGGCTAGCTAATTCTTACTGCAAATTTGTATTTCAAAAAATTAAATACAAGATCAAGTATGAAACGCAATTTCAAGGTTAGAATTACGTCAACATTACCTGAGAATACAGAAAAAACTTGGGTACGAAAGTTTTGAAAACCAGTTCTTACGCTGGATTTCAGTTGAGAAATCTCAAAACTGGAGACACTACAGACCAAAATATGTAATTTGACCTAAACATACCTTAGTCTAAAAGTTGATAGTTTGCGAGATACAGGGTGTCAAAGTTACAATTTATTTTCTATTTTTCCTTATTGCCTGAGAAGTATTTCAGATTTTTGCATAAAACTCGGTATAGGGAAGCTTTCTTATATGAGAAACAAGAATTTGTTATTTTTCATGGCCAACTTCTAGAGGGCGACACTTACAGCACTATTTCGGTAAACAACTTATCATAACTTTTTTTGCCACCCTGTATACAACAACTGAACAAAAAATCTTATTTTCTCGTCTTTCGACAACAAAAAAGACTTGTTAGAAGTATCTAAAGCTGAGAGTTTTCGAGATACTTGTTTTTAAAAGTTCCAATGCATTGTTTGTACCATGCTGATAAAACATTTTTATATCTTAATAATCAAGTGCTTGTGACCTAATTCGTGGTTTTTATTTTCGAGATTTTGCGTTAATCGAACAAATGGGGGCAATTTTGAACAGTTTTTGTGAAAGCGGTATCCATTTAACTCGATAGATTTTTTTAAATAATTTTTAATAAAGCAAATTAACTCTCTGATTACCCAGTTTTATATACGTGGATTTTTGGTATATCAACTTCTTTTGACGACTTTCAACAAGCTGTTAAACTAAATAACTCAACTTTAAAAACAGAAAAATTCTGCCATAAACGTCATTTTCAACTAGTGTTTTACAATGCTCCACATCTGCGTTTTTGGTTTCAGTTATATATATATTATATTTATATCAATAACGTCTATGGTCATTTCTAAGAACACGGTGAACATGGCTTGCTGAAATTCCCAAGGCACCAGAAACACTTTTGCTCGGATCCCTATCAAACTCACGCAGAATCATACGGTAAATCTGCGCTGACGAACATTTATGTTTGATCTCTTTGGAGATTTCCAAAACCATTTTCAATTATTTGGCGATGCACTCTTACAAATACTGAGCGAGTTGGATGTCGTCTGTTTGGAAATCTTCGTGCGTATTCTCTGGCTGCTTCTGCTGCGTTTCCATTTACAAAGCCATACACAAATGAATATCCGCTAACTCTTGATTGGAGACTAAAAATGGCATTTTTATAAACTACAAAAAAAAAAACAGGTAAAAGAAACTAAATTTCGTGCATTCATAATTGCAAAAAAACGTTTCAGGTTTCAACAGACAACAAATCTAACTGTCAACTAATTGACGTTTAACCTTATTCTGCTTTCAATTTAAAAATATTTGCAGGCACAGCCTACTTCTAAAAATTATCGAGATACTGACTTTTTAACGTTATTTTATCATAAATAATTAAAAATGCATCGAACCTCAAAAATCGAAATATCTCAAAAACGGCTAACTATAACGAAAATTCACAGAGAGCTTTTTTATGTTAAAATGCGAAGAATCAGTTGTTTTATTCAAAAAACAAAAAGTAGCACTAAGAAAATTTTCGGTCATTTTAATACACTACAGGTACAGTAAGAGCGCCCTCTAGCGCTACAGTAAAACTATGCCCAGGGCTCGTTTTGTCGGTACAGAAAACCCTTGGTATACCATTTTCACTGTTTATACGTCAATATTGTTCGAAATATTGAAAAAAAACTAATTTTAGAAAGTAAATTTAAACACCCCTGTATTTCGGAAGCCACGCATTTTTCGACCCATGTTTATATAGACTTTATGCATTAATTTTAAAAGTTCTATCGAATCTTAAAGTTATGCAACAATAAACTGAAACACCCTGTATACGTGATTTTTGGTATATCAACTTCTTTTGGCGACTTCCACAAGCTGTTAAAATAAATAACTCAACTTTAAAAACAGAAAAATTATGCCATAAACGTCATTTTCAACTAGTGTTTTACAATGCTCCACATCTGCGTTTTTGGTTTCAGGATGACGTATTGCAGCAGTTGGAAAAGGTGTACCAATCCGTGCCACCTTCAACGATTGACGATACAAATCACCTATACACCTTAAAGCAAACGCTGGTTGTAGCTCTAGCTTGTAGATTAGGGCATCCTGAGTGCATCGAGATGACCAAAAATCATTTCACTGCGTATAAAAACCAAGGAACTAAGTAAGCAATGAGCGTAATACCACAGAATAAGTAGAGCAGAAGCTACGAAAGAGGTTGCGTCTGCGCTTCTACGAGCCCAAATAATTAAATATTCGAACACTTAAATTTTGTGCAAATAACAGAACAAGATAGCAAACTTGTACCGAAAACTTTTATTGATAGTTTATACAAAATGTGACCTATTTTCGATAATAATATTTGTTTTCCTTAAAAAGTAATTTAAATTAACAAAAAAAACTAAACTTCTCAAAAAAAAAAATCAAAGCCATTTACAAGGGTTCAACTGCTTCAAAACTGACACTCCATTTTTCAATATTTTTGAATGAAATTCATACAGTATGTTGAGAAGATAATTGCCCAGGGTGCTATAGAAGCACTTTTTGAAATTTTGTTTTTGCACAAGTTTTATGATGGGTTGAAGTGCGCACTTTTTCTGTTCAACTTCGCGATTTTTTTAAAAAGAACCTAGTGAAAAAAATAAAAAAGTGGCTCTATAGCATCCTGTGGGGTTTTATTTTCAGCACTCTGTGAAAATTTCATCTAAAAATATAAAAAATAAAGCGTCAATTTCGAAGCGCGCAAACCTCTACAAATCGTATTTTGGACGAATAACCGAACTTCTTGGGATACCCAAATCCAGTGCTATTAGGTGATTTGAAAATCCAGCTTGGAAGAGGGATACTATTCGTGTTCTATCAAAACCAGAAATTTCAGCTCGCGGCATTTTAAAAGTTACAGTATAACATTTATTTTAATACTTTTGCTCAAACACTACCCGTTAGACTGACTT